CTATTTTCTTCCCTTCCCTTTCTTTTCCTCCCCCTCCATTTCCTTTTATTTTCCTCCATTCCCCTCCCTTCCCTTCCCTTCCCTTTACTATTTTCTATCCAAACAAGGGCTTACCATTGCTAGGTTTGATTGAACCTAGCGAATTTGCTGGGTTCGATTGAACCCAATGGATTTGCTGAGTTCGATCGAACCCAACGGATTCACTAGGTTCCATACCCAGCTAATCTGCTAGGTTCAATCGATACCTAGCGGATTTGCTAGGTATCTAACCTAGCAGATTTGTTGGGTTCCATACGCAGTAGATCCGCTGGGTTTGATTGATAACTAGCGGACTTGCTGGGTATCCATCCCAGCAGAACTGTTGGGTTCTCCAACCTAGCGGATTCACTAGGTTATTTTGAACCCCGCAGCTACTGGGTTTCAAACCCAGCAGCTGCACTAGGTTCTTCAAACCCAACAGGCCTCGGATGAGGCAATTTGGTTTGGTGATGACGATGAATTTGTTTGATGATGATGATGAATTTGTTTGATGATGATTGTTTGATTTAGAATAAATGAAGAAGATTCGAGAGGGAGGATGCTAAGGAAGAAGATAAGGGCCCTTTGCTGGGTTGTTTTGAACCTAGTAGCTGCTGGGTTTCAAAACCCAGCAACTCCACTGGGTTCGAAAGAACCCAACAAGCCTCAGATGAGGAAATTTGGTTTGATGATGACGATGAATTTTGTTTGATGATGATTATTTAATTTAGAATGAATGAAGAAGATTCAAGAGGGAGGATGTTGAGGAAGAAGATGAAGGCCATCTGTTAGGTTCGAGAACCCAACAGATCTTTTGGGTTTCAAAACCCAACAACTCCACTGGGTTCTTTCGAACCCAACAAGCCTCAGATGAGGCAATTTAGTTTGATGATGATGATGAATTTTGTTTGATGATGATTGTTTGATTTAGAATGAATGAAGAAGATTCGAGAGGGAGGATGTGGAGAAAGAAGATGAGGGCAAAATTGTAAATTTGATGAATTGAATAATTATATTTGTTTGATTAGGTGGCAAAGGTTTTTGGCCATGTCATTTAATGCGTTAAATATTTGGACACGTCATTTTTATTTCGTCAATTAACAAGCCACCTTAGTAAAAATTTAACGGAAGGACCAGGTAAAATGGTAAATAATATGGACCAAATCAAGAATTTTTTAAGTTTAGGGATTAAATCTAAAGTCCATATAATAGTTTAAGGACCAAAATAGAGTTTTAACCTTAATTAAAAGGTGATTGCTTTTCCATTTTTCCACGCAAAATAACAGACAGATATGGTCCCTTGCAACCAAATATAACAAATTAAAAGAGAGATTTGAAGAACGATCTGCATGCCCCTAAATTGATATTTATATACCATATCACAATCTCCTATGCCTGAGTTGGCCGCCACTCATTATTGCTTTTCTCAATTTTTATTATCATCACTTAATTAAGTTTTACAAAAATATTTTGTATTATTTTTGTATATTATATTTTCAGTATTTGATAATCATATTGAATCCTAATTAATTTGAAATTGAATCACATCAAATCTCATAAGAAAAAAATCTTCCAACGCTTATTTCTCCATTCATAAAACTTGAACTTGAGATTTTACTTAAAGAAAATTGAACTCTTTTCACTTAGAGCAACAGATCATTGATATATTTTGTATTATTTAAACTACACAAAATTAACTATAAAATAAAAATAAATTGTTTAATATAAGTGTAGTATTTAATGATTTTCATTTTGCAGTCCAGAATTATCTTCAACTGAAAAATAATCAAATTTATAAGAAGATATGGAGAGCACCAGAAGGGGAAAGTAAGAAAAGTGCAACCACTAATATTTTGTTTGTCCTTTATTGTCCCACCCAAGGCCCAAACTACCCTTTGCGTTGCTGCTTCTTTACATTTTGACAAGGATTCAACTGTTGAAGATTCAAGTTCTAATTCTGATTCTATAATGCATTTGAAAGCAAAATAATTAAAGGGTAGATTTGTAACTTGGCTTGAAAAAGCAACCAGATTCTAAAATGTTGCTTCCAAAAACGGTCTCTGCCTACACGTCTTTATGAGAAACACTGCTTTTGCTTTTCTTTTGATAAAGCAAAAGATGAAACAAACCAAAATACACTGACTGACCTTGGATGCTGTTTGTTGGTGTGCAACTTTGCCTTTAGTATTCACTAAAGTAACCTTCTCTTTCCCTATCTGTTCATGTATCAAATTAAGCTCAGTTACATTTCGACTTCAATTATTTTTCTTCTACCTTGATAAAAAGGATTGGCTCCTCCAGCACCACAGCTAGGCTTCCAATGGCTTCTTGTGTTGTCAATTTTGTCTTCCTCTCTTCTCTGCTTCTGTTTTTCCACACTGTTTCTTCACAAAATCTGTACCTTAGAAGACAAGCTACAATCCTGGTTTCTCTCAAGCAGGATTTCATATCACCCACTCCTTCACTCAACACCTGGAATGTGTCAAACTACTTGACCCTTTGTTCTTGGACTGGCATCATATGTGATCCCATAAATAGATCAGTAGTTTTCCTTGATATTTCCAATTCTAACATTTCGGGTTCTCTTTCGCCTGTAATTACCCAACTAAGCAGCCTTGTCAATCTTTCTGTGTCGGGGAACAGCTTGGATGGTGAGTTTCCTCAAGAGATTCATAGGCTAACCAAGCTTCAAGTCCTTAACATTTCCAACAACATGTTCAGTGGTGAGATCAAGTGGGATTTCTCTCAGATGACAGAGCTTCAGGTCCTAGATGCATATAACAACAATTTCAATGGCTCGGTCCCGTTAGGCGTCACTCAACTCCTCAAACTGAAGCGCTTGAGTTTTGGCGGGAATTACTTTTCTGGGGAAATTCCAGCTAGCTATGGAAGTTTTGAGCAGCTCAAATATCTGTCTCTCGCCGGGAATGATTTGAGTGGTTCCATACCTGGTGAGCTTGGTAACCTAACAACCCTGGAGGAACTCTACTTGGGCTACTATAATGAGTTTGAAGGTGGGATCCCTGCTGACTTGGGTAAGCTGATCAATCTTGTTCATCTAGACCTTGCAAACTGTGGCTTGAAAGGTCCAATTCCTCCGGAGCTGGGCAATCTGAAGAAACTGGATACACTCTTCCTGCAAACAAATGAGCTTACTGGTTCTATTCCTCCTCAACTTGGAAATATGAGCAGCTTGAAATCGCTTGATCTTTCCAACAATATGCTAACGGGAGATATCCCTCTTGAGCTCTCAGGGCTGCATGAACTAATCCTCTTGAACTTATTCGTTAACAGGTTTCATGGAGAGATACCTGGGTTTATTGCAGAGCTACCCAAGTTGGAAGTCCTGAATCTGTGGCAGAATAACTTCACAGGGTCCACTCCAGAGAAGCTTGGAGCAAACGGCAGACTACTTGAGCTTGATCTTTCAACCAATAAGCTCACTGGTTTAGTCCCCAAGTCTCTTTGCTTCGGAAGAAGGCTGCAAATTCTAATCCTGTTCAACAATTTTCTGTTTGGTCCTCTGCCTGAGGACCTCGGAAAATGTCAGACCCTTTCAAGAGTACGAATGGGGCAGAATTATTTAACAGGATCATTACCAGACGGGTTTCTGCACTTACCAGAGCTCTCACTGATGGAGCTACAGAATAATTATATTAGCGGCAGAATCCCAGAAGACACAGGTAAGGTACCCTCCAAACTTAATGAGCTAAATTTGTCCAACAATCGGTTTTCTGGGTCAATTCCAGCTTCCATTGGAAATTTCTCTAGCTTGCATATTCTTCTGCTAAGTTCAAACAGACTCTCAGGGGAAATTCCACCTGAAATTGGTCGTTTGAATAACGTGCTGAAGTTGGATATGAGTCGAAATAACTTGTCTGGCACCATTCCTTCTGAGTTAGGCAACTGTCTGTCACTAACTTACCTGGATTTGAGCCAAAACCAATTCACAGGTCCAATCCCAGTTCAGATTGCTCAAATTCACATATTGAATTACCTAAATGTTTCTTGGAACCACTTGAACCAAAGCCTCCCAAGGGAAATTGGCTCCATAAAAAGCCTAACTTCTGCTGATTTTTCTCATAATAACCTCTCTGGTTCCATACCTGAATTTGGGCAATATTCGTTCTTTAACTCAACTTCCTTTGTTGGCAACCCTCAGCTCTGTGGAGCATACCTGAATGCATGCAACTATTCATCCACCAGTCCATTAGAATTACATGACCAAAGTGGTGGCAGGTCTCAAGTCCCTGCAAAATTTAAGCTACTTTTTGCTTTGGGACTTCTGTTTTGTTCCTTGGTATTTGCTGTTTTAGCAATCATCAAGACCCGTAAGGGACGAAGACATTCCCATTCGTGGAAGCTTACTGCATTTCAAAAGCTGGAGTTTGGAAGTGTAGATGTTTTGGAGTGTGTCAAGGAAAACAATGTGATAGGGAGAGGTGGAGCTGGCATTGTCTACAGAGGAGTAATGCCTAACGGAGAACAAGTAGCCGTGAAAAAATTGTTAGGCATAAGCAAAGGTTCTTCTCATGATAATGGTCTCTCAGCAGAAATAAGGACCCTAGGGAAGATCAGGCATAGGAATATTGTCCGACTGATCGCATTTTGTTCTAATAAAGAGACTAATTTGCTTGTCTATGAGTACATGCCAAATGGAAGCTTAGGTGAAGTTCTTCATGGGAAGAGAGGTGGATATCTTGGGTGGAAAACAAGGCTGAAGATAGCCATAGAAGCTGCAAAAGGCCTGTGTTACCTGCACCATGACTGTTCTCCTCTAATACTCCACCGAGATGTGAAGTCCAACAACATTTTACTCAACTCTGATTATGAGGCTCATGTAGCAGATTTTGGGCTGGCCAAGTTCTTGCAGGACACTGGAACTTCAGAGTGCATGTCTGCAATTGCTGGCTCTTATGGCTACATTGCTCCAGGTACCCCCTGCACTCTTAATGCTTTTATTTTGAATTTTATTTGGTAATAAACTACCTTTAGTCCTTTCGAATTGTCGAAATCAGTGTTGCTTTTTTAAATCCTTGATTTAAAAATGGTCCTCATGCACTAAACTTTGGACCAAGGGCAAAGCAACTGCAGCACCTAAAGGCTCCACTAAATCTAAAGGCTCCACTAACACATTCACAGCGTGTGAGTTTGTGAAACTTAGCATGTCTCGGAAATCATAAACCCAGCTGCATACTAACCAATGAAAAGCATACTTTTTGACTCAAACAGCATTAACAAATTCTAAACATATATACCCTGCCTTGAGAATCCTGCATGGGATCTAAGCTTCACTTTCTCTACAACCTAGAAAGAGAGTACCTTTTTTTTTTTTCCACATTGATCACTTTAGTTGGGGAAATTATTCATGGAATTTCAGATGCAATGAAGAGACACATTTACCCTTATATCAGAAAAACCAAGAAATGTTGGGGTTGAGTTCCCTTACTAATTTTTCTTCCCTATTTGACAGAGTATGCTTACACCTTGAAAGTTGATCAGAAGAGTGATGTATACAGCTTTGGAGTAGTGCTGTTGGAGCTGATAACGGGGCGGAGGCCAGTTGGTGATTTTGGAGAAGAAGGCTTGGACATTGTTCAGTGGAGCAAGATTCAGACTAAATCCAACAAAGAAGAGGTAGCGAAGATATTGGACAAGAGGCTGTGTGGCATTCCATTAGAAGAAGCAATGCAGGTTTTCTTTGTTGCAATGTTGTGCGTTCAAGAACACAGCGTGGAACGACCTACCATGAGAGATGTCGTGCAAATGCTAGCTCAAGCTACACTAACAGATACGTTTCACATACAATGATCATGTGGGATAAGTTTAGCATTAAGGCCAGCTGTTTGTGTATACAAGGTTTTTTTGGTGCTTCCCTTTTTTTTTCGCCCTTTTTGTTTGTGTAAGAGGGAGAGGTGTCCTTGACGTTTGATAAATAGCAAAGCTTGAAACAGCAGCAAAGTACATGTACTGCTAGTGTATGTCATGGTCATGTTGGCTCCGTTATTATGTCATGATTAACTTGGAATATATGGTATGATGAGATGATGTCAAGTTTCTTTGATCAGCCCATTAAGCACCCTGCAGCACCTCTGAGCACAAAACTCTCTCACATGGCACTGTTCATGCTACACTACACATACATCTTGAAACTTTAGCACCAACACACCAAGACAGAAGTAGACAAAAAAAAAAAAAGAAGAGAAATTGATCTACACATCTTGTATATCAATTGAGATTTATTCCGCAAGGGATTAATGGATATACGGAGTGACGAGACTATTTTATCTCAGTGTGAACTTTGTAACATTCAGCAGGCAACTTCACATCTAAATGCAAGCAAGAAAACACCACCACCACTACATGGTTGCTGCAAGAGTTAATTATGAATTAGGAGTGGCCTTTCTAGACCTCTTCATAGCGTTCTTCGAAACAGAATTAACATTATCTCCTTTTCGTTTGGAGTTGCTCTTGGTGGTGTGGTCATTTATGTTGTTTCCATCCACACCTTCAGAGCTCTTTCCAGATTGTCTTAATTTATTTTGCACAAAAACCTTTAGCCTCCACAAAGTTATCTCACTCTGTGTTGACAAAAAAAGATGGAAAAAGGTTATAACCTACAGCATTACCTGAACGTAAAGAGAGCTGAAAAAGAATGGATGACATTTGAAAAAATAAACTGTAATGTAAGTGGTAACCTGAGCATCTATGTCAAGATCAACCTCTTGTGCTGTTGGTAGGAAGCCTGGGTTGTTCTCAGCAACTATCTCCAATGCCTCACTGAGGTCTTCCGGAGACAATCGGGGAATAGCTGTTCCAAGTTTCTTCTTCTCTTCAGTGGACATTTTGCTACACAGACACATCCAAAATCAACACTCCTTGCAAAGAATGCAATAACCAGCAAAACACAAACACGTGAAAGCATAATGAGAACCAAAACAGTTTCTGGATAGTGGATACAACAATGAGAATCAATTTCTAAAAATGACATGCTTTCAAACTGGAAATGAATCATTTATTTCCATTAAATGCAATTAAGGATCCCACTCCATCATGCTCAAAGCAACAAAAGACGCTTTCACAGAGGTCCCAAATTCATCTCTCTTACCTTCGCTCATCCTTGAAATAGATAAGTGCTACATACAGACATCCAGAAACTAAACCATTAATCTCTGCCTCCGCAATACTACACCCTAATCAATCCATTACAATTCTCATCCTAATCTAAAAGCTTCTATGATAATGGTAAGGTTTCTTTGTCAAGGAAATTAACTGAGGAAAACCAATGTGACATTAGGATATTCATATATAACTTCTAAACACAATTAGGCCAATAAATTTGAATGTGTTGTTGAACAAACCTGCACTGTTGGACAATAGTTTGCCTCAGTTTCTCCAATTGCATATCAACCTCAAAAAGCTGAAAGAATTTGAAATAGCATTATTCATGGATCTCAGATGTGAGACTAACCTTTAATTCACATACCTTTGTCAACTCAAGTTATTTATTTTAAAAATGAAAGAAATTTAAGAACTTGCTTCCATTTGGTATTGTGTTTCAAGGAGGTTCAGATTTTTGACATACTTCGTGACTTAACTCTCTAGCCATGTTGGCATGAACCACCTCTTGTGAAAGCTTCAAATCTATCTGTGCCTTTGCTTCCTCTTCTTCCTGTCTTTTTTCCTGCAAGTAATTAAGGGACCTAATATTGGAGGATATTGAAATTTGAAACAGTAATGCTAATGCAGGATGATTCCAGAGCATCCCACCACTAAACAAAAGACTACTGAACAATGAAAGAGGTACAACATTAATAATAAAATAATGCAGTAATGAGAGTTACCAACAATAAGATGGCGACTTACTTCCTCAGCAACTTTAGGCAAAAGTTGTAGCCACTTCTCTTCAAGTTTTTTTAATAAAGTATCGGCCATTACATGGACATCATTTCTTTCATCATTATATTTCATTGCATTCTTAAAAACCAACCTAACATCAGCATAAATCTCCCGGACATTGTTGTACTCATTACCATCCATCTTATTTTTTATTGTACTGAAGTCCATGGGCTTCTCAATAATCTGAAGTGCACAATGTCATTAAAATATTAGTTGAAAACACATAAAAGGCTAAAACAATCAATGAATAAAATATCAAGAATTAGAAATGGATGTACTTTGAATGGCAGTTTGCCTTTATAGCAGTGGAACATAATTACAAGGTCTAAAGAATTAAGCAATCATCTCTCTATGTTTTTCAGTGAAATGACAAAACAACAAAATTAATTTTTTTCCTAAAGGGAATAAGAATGGCTTCCAGCTATTTATTCGGCAAATTGTATTAAGTTTTTTTAGGATAAGATATAATACAGGATAATAAACCATGCCATTTTAAATACCAAGCCCTTTCAAACTCCATGCATGCCAAGAATATTTCTAGTTCTAGATGCCACGAAGAACAGAAGCCAGTAATGGTTTTAACATAATTCTCTTAAAAAAAGTTTAGAAAAAAAAAAAAATCCCATCTGCATGTAAATAAGTGAGTCATTCAATATGAGAGAGAAAGAGGGCCGCATGGAAAATAACCTTCCAAAACTATTTTTAGAACATACCACGGTTTCCTTTTATAGCTTGCACACCTTGCAGATTAACATGCATGTATGCAAATTCATTACCAAAATAAAATATATATATATATATAAAAAAAACATAGACAATCAGAAAATCTTGAAAGGAGCAATAAGCCTTGCCTCATTATAGTCATGTAACCCAAGACCTTCTACATCAACTGGATGCATAAAAGGATGTGCCCATTCGTGCTGAGTGATCTGACGAGTGATAAGTTAAACAACTAGTTAGCAATTAAATGACAGATAGTTGCCATGTCAAAGTGTTTTATTTGTTTAAGTAAATTGAATACAGTTCCATTTTAAGTCAAGACCAACATCCTTACATGACATAAAATATTTTCAAAGTGGCGCATAAGTTCCTGCATTCTCTTTGAAGCAGCTGCCTCTCTATGCGATGCATCTTGTTGCTGCTTCTCAATGCTACTGACATGTCTCTCCTTGACTCTGTCCTTAATAACAGAACCATGCTTGGGAGTATTCAGTTGCGTATCATTCGTACCTGAGTAGAACTGTTCAATTTCATTGACTCTTGTCTCAAGCTGCAAGGTGAAATAGTGAATAACGTGTCAAGGCAAGGCAGCATGTGACTGTGAACTACAGTAAAAATACTACAAGTTGAACAATTGGGTACCAACTCAATCAACCTTATCAAACTCCTTATTTTCCTAACCTTTGAACTTACGTTATCAACTAAATGATATGATTTTTGATTCACAAAAACAAATGTAGCTTGTAACAAGAAATATCAAAACAATCCCTCATTAGATACATCCTGTCAACATCTTCTTGATTCATCAATTCAAAACAACCCTAAATATCATTTTTGTTTTCTCTCCATGTGATTACGATAATACACTCAAAATCAAACCCCAAACTGGGCAAACTGCCCAGAATATACTAGCAAATATCATAATAAGCATAAAGTTTCAAACTTGATAACTCTTGGTTGAAAAAGCAATTGCAATTATGGTTGCTAAGCCTGACCTTGTTCACTTTACCCAAAATTTCATCAAGGTAACGCCCAAAACCCTCCACTTTCGCAGGCATACCTTGGGCCTTGATTGATCCCGTATTTTCAGCGGCGGGAGTTGAATTGGTCACAGGTTCCATCTTATACAATCGATTTCCGTTCAATTACAGAGACAGAAAGCAATAATTCTCCTTAGAGTAGAACTGTTAAAACGACTGATATTGAAGAAAAGTCACTTAATTGCATGAATTTGGAGATAAGAAAATCTTAAAGCAACAGCCAAATAAAATTACAATGTACCTGCAGCTTTCAAGATATGATCGGAGTCGGAGCACGGGACACGGCTTGCGCGCCGGAGAACAAGATTTGTTCGGACGTGGAGAACAAGGAGTTGAAGAGGGAGGAATAAATGAAAGTAAGATTTTGGGCTCACAGGCTAAGCCCATAAAACGTATTCCGGAAAAGGAATTGAAGGAGGAAATGGAAATAACCCCATGATTAGACCCTTAACTTATTTCTTTTGATAATAATAGACCCATAACTTATTGATAGCCCAAAAAAAGAACCTCAATTTTTTTTTCCTTGAAAATAATAAAATTTTGGCTAACAAACTTAAATAACTTAAAAATAATTTTTTTCTCTTAAAATTAAAAAAATTTAAATTTAAATTGCATAATATGTAAGTGAAATGAATTGAAAAAAAATTAAAAAATATATATATATACATATATACAATAATTACTCGAACTAAACAAGATAAATACATAAGAACTATATTTTAACATTAGGACACGATTACCATCAAGACTTTAAGAATTTTCATTTTTCCCCCCTTGATTGTCACGTTATAGAAGAGATGTTAATGATTAGCAGCTTTCACAAAAATCTCACCAACACATGCTTACGTTATGTGAACTTCAAGTATAGACCTTTTTCAAGTTTTGCATTAATTGAAAATAAGAAGACAATGTTTACATTAATTGGAATTAAGGATAAGTAAGATGAAAAATTGACAATTAGAGTTATCAAAAATTATTTATTTTTAATTAAATTACAAGAGATAATTTTTTGTGATTTAGACAAACATGAGATTCTCAGGCGATCTTTTTTTAGGAGAAGATTTTAAGAAGATACTATGTAAAATTAATTATCGGTTACACTTAATGATTACATAACGTAAAGTAATATTTTTATTTTAGTTTATAACTTTATTTAATGTCACACGCCTTTTTTTTTTTTTGTTTAAATTTCCATTATTTTCAATTAATAAAAATACCATGTTCTTATTTCAAAATGGGAAAGAATTCAGAGTCTCGTATTTAAAGGAAGAAATTGAAATGCACCCAACTTTAGTAAGGAACAAAACCACCCACAACCTGCAAATTACTCTACAACATTTAACCATGAACAATAATATTACCAGATATCACAATGAAGAACACATGAAAGCTTTACAGAGAGATAACAAAAAGAATTAACAACAAATCAAATCTTAATTTGTCGTTTGCTTGGTATATGGAGTAAACTTCAACATTTATGCACACACAAACAGTTCAATTACTTGTTGAAGATGGTGTTTTCAAGCCTTTGGCTCTTTAACCGCTTCCCCTACCGGTGCCGCCACTTCTACCTTCACTTCTTCTTTCTTCTCTTCTTCCACGACTATCTCCTTCTCCTTGCTGCTGCTTTCTTCTGCCTCCGTTGCTGTGGTTTCTGCGGGTGCCTCCACTGCTCTCTCTTCTACTACCACAAAGGTAGAGACCTTTTCCAAGATAAACAACACTGGGGCTGATACCAAGGTTGCTCCATATTGTGATGATGCTTCACTCACTTGTTTCGATCCCGGGAACTCTGTAATGTCATATTAATCAACAGATTTAGAGCTTGCGCATGTTGTTTGAGTAAAACTTTAATGGTTAGGTGTTATAAAAAATTTTAAAAATTAACAAAATTTACTGAACTCAAATGTTTAATGGTAAAAGTTATTCGAAAAATAACGATTAAAAAATTAATCTCAACTTAAAAAATAAAAATAAAAATAACTAGAAGTATTTTAAAAAAACTAATCTACCTCGACTTTAACTTATTTACAGCAAAGAAGTATAATTTTTCGTAAGTATGAAAAAGATATCTTAAGGATTAGATTCTATGTTACCTATTTTAACAAGCTCTTCAAGGAACTTATTAACTGCAGCGGAGTGCTTCTTCAATCCTTCCTTTTTGGGTTCCTTAACTAGGCTCTGTTGATTATATCTTTCACAGTTAAAATCAGATCTTTCAATTTTCAACGATGCATAAGACTTAAAAGGAGAAAGTGAAGCAAATAAAAACCTTGATTTCAGCTGGTGAAGCTTCATAGACTTCAACTACTTTAGGTTGGAGCTCAGTCTTCTTGTCTTCCACTTCCTTATTGATTGCCTCCTAATATAATCAAAACACCAAAAAAATAAAAAATCCACGCATGCATGCAAATTCTTTTCCCCCTCATTAATTGGGAGAACACAAATTAATTTAAAACTATTACATCTAGTTCTATTTAGAGAGTAGTTAGTACCTTGGATTCATCAAAGGACTTGGAAACTTCTGCAGCAGCTGCCGCCTTCTTAGAAGCACCAGTCTCAAAAACCTTCTTGATCTTAGGAAGAACCTTCGATTTCCAATACCCCATGTATAGTAAACCTGTCTCAAGAATTAAAACAATATATGCAATTAAGAGAGTACTTATATATAATTAAATTCTCTATAAATTGTAATTAAGGCGAAGATCAATCGAGCTAGAATGGATAAACAACGATATAACCATACCAAGGAAAAGAAGAAGAAGGGTTGTTGATGTAGTTGGTGATTGCAAACTCTAAGCCCCCAGAAGGAAAGGAACTGTGTTACAGGCGACTGTCACCACAAGTTATTAATGGACATTAAGGTGGAGAGGATGGCAACATCATATAGGCATAGTTGTGACAAGACGACCCTTGTATTTGGGACTAAATTATGGGTGTTTGTAAGGTGATGAAGGGGAAGGTAAGGGGTAGAATAGGGAGACAGGAAGGAATAGCTGGCATTCGGATGTTTATCTGTAAAAATAGAAATACACATATAGACAAGTATGTATGTTTCTCAAACCTGTCACGTGGCTTCGCTGGTACTACAAAAATACACCACACCACACATGGGATGCTTAATTCTAATTTCACTCCATATACGTATGATTGCTGTATTATACAAACCATATTGGTTTTTAATAATAAAATCGGTAAAATCATCTTGACAAATTCAATCCGCTGACTCTAAATTAGGTTCTTAGTGTGTACCAATTTCGTTTTTATGAATTACTAACTCGAGTACATGAGCAAAGATGCCGGGATATGGTGAAGCAGGGAGGTGATATCTGGAACCAGTAAAATTTCATCCTTGAAGGTTTAGACTATGAAACAAAGCCAAGGCTTTTTTTTTTTTTTTTAATTTTTTGTTATTTGATAATTTTATTGTATTTTAATTAATTTAAAATCAAATTATATCAAATTTTGTTAAAATTTATAATATTTAAATTTAAAAATTAAATTTCTTCTACTCATATCAACATACCATTAAATAATATCAAATGTATTAACCGAACAAAATAAAAAACTAGGATTTCAAATTGATTATGATGATTATGGAATAGTACTTGTTGCATTGTCAATCAAGAAAAGGAATATGACGTAGCTTAGGCTTTGAGTACACAACTCAACTGACAAGGACACCTTGTCATATTGATAAGGAAAGCGTAATTATCGCCTTTAATATGACCATTTCCCATTAATTACCCACCAAAGAGTGCTCATTCAATTGTATTATTTTGTTTTTCAGTTTTATAAACAAATGTTATCATTTTCATCACTCTAATTATAAATCTAAACCCCTGCAAAGAAGAAAATTTTGTTTAACATATGAATTGAACAATCCCATACTTCACAATTTGACTGTACCATATTCTAAAACATTATCAATTACATGTACTATAAAACACTAACGATTTAATCAGAGGACCACACCCATCATTAGGGAATCCTTTTACTTTTTCTCTTGCATAGCTTGTGAATCAAAATTGATAGGATATCTCACTAGAATAAACTAATAAATGATGATGAATCATTGCTGGTAGATTAGCTCTGGCATTTTTTTAGGAAGAGAAACTAAAACGCCAGAGGTGCACCCAAAAGACAAACTCCAGCCTAGCAAGGAACTTGAATTTAAATATGTATTGTACCTTTGCAATACAGGGACCACGGTGCCATAAGATTTTGAATTTTGGTTTCAATATTAAAAGTTCAATAGTACCTGATAAGCACGCCATATTCATATGGTTAAGTAGTTATATTACAATCACCTACAAATCAAACAATTGACACTGGTGACTGGCCTGCTTCAGCCACCAACCTAAGACTACTATCTCCAATTTACAGCAACTTAACACTTAAAAATGGAACCTCATACCATTCAATGTCACCTCCTCGCACAACTTTTACTCCTGTGGCAATTGTAACTCGTACTTGAAACAACTTAAAAGCTGGTGAGAACTCATAATCACGGTGGTGGTGGTGGTCCAGCTTGGAAGGAACGTCGACACTAATCTGCAACATAATTAGGAGCAACAGCTAAAATCCTGCTGTCTCTAGCTGCCCGCCCTGCTCCCTCACCCTCTGCTTGCCCACCATCATCTATTACTATTAAGTACCCTTCCCTCCGAATCAACCTCTGCATTAGACAGGTGATTATGCGAAGTTAGTTCTGATAACTATATTTTACTAGGGTGCAGCATTAATGTACGCGAACCAAGATTACACGGTAATAGTTTTACCTCGATAAGTGACTTAATTACTTTAATTTCTTTTTCTGCCTCAGCGATGGAAGTGTAGCTATTTTTCTCATTCTGCCTCGCAATATACCACTGGATCAAGTCGCCCTGTCTCATTCCAGACAACCCCGTCCCTGCAAAGACAAAAGTCTAAACTTGAGGACAATGATCTCAGAGACAGGTAATTAATTGTTTAATCAATTATGCCTGGACATCCTTTGGTAGAGCGTAACTTCAGAATCTACAGTCATCCATCCTAATTTCAGGCTAAGCTAAAACTATCCAAAAATTTTGGAAGTCAAAAGAGTACTAATTCTCATATTTTAACAAGTTACTCAAGCCTATGAAGATAAGTGAGGAATGGCTTTACCTTCTTGCATTACGGTTTCTTCATGCTGTCTAAGGCGTGTGATAAGGGCTTGAGTAACCCTCTGAAAATATTCTTCAGTTACCACGTACTTTTCCTTCTGTTGATTGGCAGAATCTCCCACATTTTCTGCACAATAATTATCCAATTTTACCCTCAACCGAAAACATTCTATGACAGAAGATGCATAAGTACAGCTAACACAATCCTACCAGAAGTTGGTTCTGCTGTCTCGGTTCTTGGCTGAGCTTCATGTTGATTAGAGTTATCATTTCCATCATCAGTGCCATCCTCATTTCCTTCTTGAAACTCTGATAAATCAATCTCACTTGACTCAACACTGCAAGAGTGAAAAAAAAGAAAAAGAAAAGATGAGAATAATGACTTGGGATAAGAGAAAGAAAGAGTGGGTATTCAACGGTTATAATTACTACCGTCTTGCCTTATTATAGATGTCTTGAGCATTGTTCTGGCTAGGCGGACATGACGTCCTTGTACCTACAAGCAAGATATTCTCACTAAAGCGCAGTTGAAATAAAGAGACAGATAAAGTTGATTGCCCAAAAAGAGAACCTGAGTTTCCAAATAACTTCGAGCAATAGACTCAGACAGCCTGATCAATGCCTCGAGCTGTCGAACCGTCATCCTATAAGCAACTCTACCTCCAGGAGTAGTATCACCTCTTCGAAGTGCAACATAAGAGTCTACTAAGACTTTTCTGGCTTCGGAGCTTAGCTGCATTGACACTAGACCCATTAAAAGTTTGCAAAGTCCAATGACAATTAAACTCATCAACCTGAACCATTTTTGTCGATTGAAAGATTAAGCACCAACCTTTGGTTTCAAAGTTTTTGCGTATGCAATATATCGCTTCAGTTGTGCAGTGGTAAATGCAGGAGCAAGTGCATCTTCACGCTTTTGGTGAACTCTCACTATATGGTGAGCAATGTGATAATCAGTTTCTGCATCTGGGTCGTCAATCATTACATATACCAGATCAAACCTTGAAAGAATAGCAGGAGGGAGAGCAACATTATACTGGGGAGGAAGAAACATACAGAAATGATCAGTTCAAAAGAGAGGCAAATCAAGGCACTATTCAAATCATGCTTGAGACTTTAGATGAGCTACAAGAATGTTCCCAGTTTCCAACCTTGAGTGGTTTAGACTTGTCATAGCGACCTCCAGTAGGATTAGCTGCAGCTAAAATTGATGTCCGTGCATTCAGTGTTGCTTGTATTCCTGCTTTAGTAATGCTTATAGTCTGTTGCTCCATGGCTTCATGAATTGCAACCTTCACATGCAAAAAAAATCACATGTCTGCAGTCTTTCATTGCCAGAATCCTAAATCAGCTCCATATAATAAAACTTATCATTACCTGATCTCTAATGTCCATCTTGTCAAATTCATCAATACAGCAAATGCCATTGTCAGCAAGCATCAGAGCACCTGCCTGGAAACAAAGGTTCAAATTTATCAGAGATACCAATATCAATGGTTTCTGTAACTGCCAGCACCATAGCTATGTGCTTCTTCAAACAAATTTAAATTTCCTTATTACTAAAGACTTTTACCAGGTGAAGTAGTCAAAATCCAATTTTAATATACCTTTGCTACAATACATATACTTTCTGTGGTTGAGATGTCATGGTCAGTAATAAAATCTACAATGCCAAAGCACCAATAATGTCATTTCTGATAAATTCCACTCACTTAAAAAACCCCTTGACTACAAGGTAGTTGGGTGGAGTGCAGGAAGCCCTTTCACTTTCCTTCAATGAAGAACCATATTCTCTTAAAGATTTAAAAGGTCTAAGGCCTTTCTTAGTATTTCAGTACACGTAACCTTCAACCTACCTCTGCCATTCTTCTTTCCTATCTGAAGCCAGCTTAAGGCTTAGTTGAACTTGAGCCAAAATTATGGAGCAGTTAGAAATACAATATACTTAACAAAATAACTAATAACAAATTTATCATATCTGTGAAGTTTATGTCGCCTACATGAAAGAAAAAACTGTCAGGGGTAACAACAAATAGTACCTCAATACAAAATTCCCCAGTTTCAGGTTCTTTGGCAACAGTTGCAGTCAACCCAGCAGCAGAGGAGGATTTACCAGATGTGTAAACGGATCTGGGAACAATACCTGATGTGTACCTGTGAGTATGGAGATCAATTTTTTCCTTTTAGTTTTCTGGGTATACCAACCACAATTCCTGCTAAATGTTAAGGGAACAGAAAGGCATACTTGAGGAATTGAGACTTTGCACAACTAGGGTCTCCAACTATACAGACATTGATGTCCCCTCTTAGGTTGATTCCCTCATGAGTAACCTTGTGAACGCCACCTAAGAGCATAAGCAGGATAGCCCGCTTGATGTCTTGGTGACCAAAAATGGTTGGGGCAATGCTATCGACAAGCTTATTGAAAAAATCAGGAGTATTTCTCATCCTTTGAATTTCTTCAAGCTCTTCTTCCTGCCAAATTTGATAAAGTAAGCAGAAGCATTACACCTGTTGGAAGTTTTTGAGATCACCCACACAGCATAATGATAACATAACCAAGCATCAAAGTTCTAGCCAATATCTATGAAACTGGAGAGGCATGCATTAAACAAGGCACAGAATCTATTATTGGCAATGATCAATGTTTTTCTTCCAGTGGCACAACTAATGGGTGGAGCACAGCAAAAACCAACACCAACCTATTCCTTAAAAATAATCACCAAGCAACTCATCACATCTTGAAACAGTAAAAGCCAACAACTGAAACTTGTCAAGTTATATGCTTCCTTTCAGATTGATAGATGACTTCAATACCATGCATAGAAGACATGAAAGGAAAAAAAATGTGAAGGATATTTTACACGGACGAACCCATAATAACAAGATCTTGAAAATTTTATTGCTGCAAGTTATGGGATGATAATCTAAAACATAGAGATTGTCTAACATTAAAGAATTAGGATTACAAATAACTGTAAGTAAATCTCATGAAGGAAGAATCAAAAATAATAAAAGCTGCATTGAGAACAAACCATGAACTGTTGTTGTTCATCTTCATCACCATCTTTCTTTCGGTTTCTGATGTCAGTATTCTTGCTACCATCACAAACCTAACGAACAAGGCATTTCAGAACAATTGGTGTTAAGCAACATCAATTACCAAATAGTATTTAAAGCAATTGCTATCACTATCACTAAGCCAATCAAAGACAAACCTGAACTGAATTGGCAATAAAGGCAATACGATAAGAGAGGTCTCTCACTCCCAATGCTCGAAGGCCTCTCACTCCTTCATTTGCAACACCAGAGCTCTTGCGTTGAGAAGCTTCTCGACGACATTCTGCTCTCTCCCCAGGGGAGGCTAATGCCAATATGTCAGGAATCACAACGACAGTACCAGTGAAGATAACCCTGCAACCATACATAAGAAATGTATAACGAAGGTCTCTGCTAATCATCAGGGAGATGAGAACAACACACAGAAAGCTTACAGAATGACTTAATGTGGAATCAGAAAAATAAATTATCTTACGTGTCCCCAGCCCTAGCCTGCTCAACAATCTCATGGCGGAGAATAACATCCAATGATCTAGGTAAGGAGCCAGCAGGTATCTCTTTGGAAGTCTCCTGCATTCTGACCCTCTGCCAATCAGTAAATTTGCTCTCTTGTCGAAGCAGTGCCCATTTTCTTCTAGTCAAACATAAAGGACTAAGACAAATGGTAGGCTGCAATCACAGAATTGAAACAGAACCCATAAATAAAAATGGCAGTTCTGTGCCTACCTAACACCAGTGTAACTTCTGGGGGAAATTTTTGGAAACAGAAAAATATATATGGATGCCAACCTCAGTATACTTGAATTGCTGTTCAACATTCTTCATGACAGTCCCACATTCCAAGCACTTGAAAGTTCCATACAGAAGCTCCGGCCGCACCTCACTTGTGCGTGTCACTACTCCCGTCACTGATACTAATTTTCCAATTTCTGCTGTAGTCAATTCTCGTAGCCTGTAGACAACAAAAAAAACTTAGTTTTTTCTGGCAGAAACCCCCCAAATTAACAGAGACAGACAGAACAACTGATGTCCAGAAAGAAAGACAAAGCAGAAATGAGTACCTCTTGGTGTAAGGGAGGTTGAAGAAGGCAACATTGATGTCCTTGTTCGGGTTATCGTCGGAAATAAACGTTGGCTTGATCTCCATAACGAACCTCTTGCAGGCCATCTTCAAGGAGGGCTCAAACCTCAAGTACTCGCTGGCAATGGCTTCCTGGAGAGTGTTGTTGAAAAGCATGACGTGCGAGAAATCGATGAACATGGTAGTGGATTCGTTGGTAGTCATCACCTCGATCTCGGAAACATAGTAGGGTTCTCCATCCAACTTGAAGCTGCCGATTGATAAATTAAGGAAATGAAGATGAAAACCAATGATAGACATCCAGAGGGAGGAAAAGAAGCAAACCTTCTGAGGAAATCGACGAATGCGTTCTCCACCGTAACAGCCTTCTTGTCGACAAAAGCCCCTCCATAGCCATCCATTTTCCGGCAGATCTCTTCTCACAGAGACGGTGGATTGATTCGGCGAAGGGAAAAGGAAGTGTCTGCGCGTGGGAAACCCTAGTTTATTTGATTTGGTACTTGCTGGTGGCGGGAAAATAACGAGAGGGTTCCCGCCAAAAGCCCTTCCAAACCAAACAGTAAAGTGGGCCGTTTTCTTGGGCCGAATTAATGCTGGCTGAGTTGAGAAGAATTGATTATGGACCGCATTAAAGGTGAGCCCTTTTCCCACTTGAGCTGGGTAACTGGGTTGGGCAAAGCAAGCATTGGTGCGGGTCGGTACCCGGTATTATGTTAAGTCCGTTATAATAATAATTAATAATAACTTGTGTCTTTATGGTAGAGTATTGAACTTTTTATTCACAACTTTGATGGTCTGAATAGAGTAAAAAAGTGTTAATTATTAATTAAAAAATAAAATTATATAAAGGAATTCAAACAAAATTTGTCCTTAAAAATCATTTTGTAAACTTTTGTTTTTATACAGTTTGCAACTTGAAAGCGAAGGAATTCGAATCTAAATTCTAAAATTGAGAAATGCACTTTATAATCATGCTTAGAGTCCTTAGCCACAAGACCAGGTGCTATTTTTAGAAATTTTTAATTTAACTTGTAAAATAACATTTAAGGAAGGAAATTTTTTTTTTTTACCATTCATCCTGAATATATTACCTTTTTTTTATCTTACTCATATAAGAAAAGATAATTTTTTTT